GGGGGGATGGACCTGTACCTGACCCCTCGGTTGTCAACCCCGAAGAAGGGGGTAAAAGGTTCCCATTGGAAAATCCGGGAACAAAGAGGGGCTGCAGTTACAAGCCGAACCACATTAGGTTCTGGGGGGGTCACGTTAGGCCCTAAGTGCTGGATAACTGATGTCCGTTTGAGTAAATAGGAGGGACACAGAGGGCTTAGGGAATAGGCTCAAGGCAGTTTGAAGTTAGTGTAGGAATTCTACTCGAGCTAGGCTCGGGGGGGGGGGGGCGTGTAGCCCGCTGAGGCTAGGAGAGGAATAGATACTATAATAATTAAGAAGTAGGAGATTAGGTAGAGGTCCGAGAGAGTTAATTCGGGAATCAGAGAGTTGGGCAAATGAGCAAATTTTGCTGGGATTAGAGTAGGGGGGCAAATGCAGAAGCTAAACCGGCTGAAGCTGCCGGGATAACTCCCGGGATGAATTGTGAGGTCTCCCGGGTTGAATTGTGAATGACTTCGGAAATATAATGAATGTGCTTTTCAAAAGAAAAAAGAAAAAAAGAAAGAAGGAAAGAAAACGATGAAGTATCACAATGCTTGCTCATCAGCCCAGCACCACATTGCCCAGGCGAGGTCGCACTAGCAAAGTGGATCGGATTGAATGCCTGAATCTCGTCGTGTGCATGGAAAGGTGCAGAAATCGGGATTGATCTGCTTTTCTACATCTCTGCTTAAAACACGTCCAGATTCAGGAGCTTAATCCAATCGTCCTTGCTGTGGGACCCCTCGCCCCCGAACATGTGTATTGGCGTGATTGAGCGGGAAGTTCCCATCTGCACAAACAATAGCGAGAGAGAGAGAGAGAGAGAGAGAGAGAGAGAGAGAGAGAGAGAGAGAGAGAGAGAGAGAGTACGAAGAGTAACACGATGTTCAATAGTCCGACGCAACATTGCCCGGGCAGTGCCACGTGTATCCGTGTGATTGGGCAAGTATGGAGGGCATCAACGTCGCACGATTAATTGCACGACATTTTCCATTTTTATTTTTTTTTCACATTTTCTTTTGTTCTCATCGCTCGACATCAAAATAGCACCAAAAAAATATATAATGTTTGGCTGTTCCCTTCCTCTTTTCTTTGCCTCTTCGCCTTTTGGCTGTGTGCAAGTGGGTCGATATGACACACGGGGGTGGGGGCAGCCGCCGCTCAACCTACATCCACGTGGGCGGCCTTGT